TGGGCAACTATTTCGCTAGTGTTCATAGGTTAGATAACAGGACACTAGAACCTAGATCCCCAAACTCTCTTCCACTGAGCATAAGGGAGATGCAGATATCTGCAGTGGATGTGCAAAAGGTGCTAGGGAATTCGGACATCAACAAGGCCCCGGGTCCCGATGGCATATATCCTGCCATTGTAAAACCACTTGCTCAAATCTTAGCAGACCCCTTAAGGGTGCCGTTTCAAAATCACTGTCGGAGGGATTGCTTCCGGGCAACTGGAAAACTTCCGTTGTGGTGGCGTTNAGGCCCCGGGTCCCGATGGCATATATCCTGCCATTGTAAAACCACTTGCTCAAATCTTAGCAGACCCCTTAAGGGTGTTGTTTCAAAAATCAATGGAGGAGCGAGTGTTTCCGGGTGACTGGAAAACTGCCGTTGTGGTGGCGCTACAAAAAGATGGTAGTAGATCTAACCCGCAGTACTACAGATCGGTTAGCTTAACTAGTATACTATGCAAGTGCATGGAAAAGTTAATCAGAACGCATGTCTGTATCCACCTTATAGAATATGCCTAACTTAAAGTGGCCCAGCATGGCTCTATGAGAAACATGTCGTGCCTGACAAATCTCTTATGCTACCTCGACTAAGTCACAGAGAGGGTAGACGAAGGCAAAACAGTTGAAATACGTTACCTAGATTTCAGTTAGGCGTTTGATTCCGTAAGTCATAGACTGCTTCTACATAAGCTAAGTTTTTTCGGAATCACAGCAACAATATTTAAATGGATGGAAACATTCTTGACCAATAGGGCATTCTGGGTTAGGGTAGGAGAACAAACTTCCCAAGTCCTTGATGTCACAAGTGGCATGCCACAAGGGTCGGTGTTAGGCCTACTTCTATTTCTGTTTTTTATAAATGATCTAGCAGAAATTACCAGCTCGCTTTGCTTCATCTTCACTGATGATGTAAACGTGGTTGAATCTAGTCGAAGAGTCGACTTAGAAGAGGATATTGCAAAGGTGGTCAAGTGGTCCCACATATGGGATCTGCCACTAAATGCAACAAAGAGTCAGTTACTCTCTAGAACCGGGGAACCATTGAAAGCTCTCGGGGACTGGGGGCAATTCGAAGTGGGCGCTGTAACCGGTGCCAGGTATCTGAGAGTCATCGTAACTGCAGATTACAGTTGGAGTACCCAATGTGAAGCTGCAGCACACATGGCAAGACGACAGCTGTTTCGACTAAGATCAGCATTTTCGTGTAGGAAAGTAGAAGTATTTATAACCAAATACAAAGCCATCGTAAGGCCGCACCTAGAATACTGTGTTCAGGCTTGGTCGCTGTTGTATTCAGTAGAACTCGTATTATACACGTAAGTAAATCCTTTTTAATTAGCAGAGAACGGTAGCAACGTGATTCATGAAAATTAGCAGAAGCATGTCCTCAGCCGGTACTGGCCGTACAAGCAATCTGCAGTCATCCAATCAATACCAAGCATACACGTGGTGCAGTCTGATAGGTCAATGTAATCAAGGTTGCATGTGAGGAACGTCCATGTCACGTGCGTGTATGTCTGTGTCTGTGTGTGTATCCAGTATTGATGTTGCGCGTTCAAGGGGGCAATGAATACAAATGTTATCGAACAAATGCGTTAAACAGCACAACAGTCGCCCTTCTAAAAAAGGATGCAGCCTACCTGGAGAAGGGTCAGAGATTAGCAACACGGATGGTTGAGGGTATGCGGGGCAAAGCATACAAAGAATGGTTGTACGCGCTCGGTCTTTTTTCGCTAGAAAAAAGGAGATTGCGCGGAGACCTCATCGAAGCATTTAAGATTAAGAAAAATTTGCTGGGTTTAGATCCGGGGTCCTTCTTCACTGAGGCTCCCCACCAAGGAACGCGTGGACATGAGCTCAAACTTATGAAATAGCGTTCTAGGCTGAACTTACGAGCAGGTTTCTTTGGAAATAGGGTAATGGAAAATTGGAATAAGCTATCGTCAAAACTAATGATGCAGCCAAACGCCCAAGCCTTTAAAAGATCCCTGGACGCCAGATGGTCGGAGGTCTTCCCTGACATAGAATGTTAGGTGCATTAATTGTTTTTACGTAATATGGAACGCTTTCAAAACAAAAGTCTCTCTCCGATACGGCGAGAAGTGAAGTCTCTCTTTCTCTCTGTTGCAGATAGAAAGAGAAACCGATCAATCGCAGAAGTGGACGCAAACTCGTGAGCACACCGCCGAAGGAATTCTGGACGCTTGATTGGCCTGTGGCCACCATCAGACCTGTGCAACCTGACCTGGGTTTCGGGGATGGCAGAGCCGCTCTTTCACCCGGAGGAAATAGAGCTCGTGCTGAGGGGATTGAAAGGGCACAAGTCTGCAGGGTCGGATGGCATCCACCCAGCGATTATGAAGCCTCTAGCGATGAAAGTGGCTGAAGTAGTCCCTATACATAAAGGTGGCTGCACGGAGGAACCGACCAATTATAGACCGGTCAGCCTCACACCGGTCTCACTGAAGGTAATGGAAAGATTACTGAGAGATAGGATGGCTCAGCACCTAGCAACTCACGATTTGCTATCGGGCAAGCAACATGGCTTTGTTAAGGGGAATCGTGTTTGACGAACCTACTAGCATCTATAGACGAGGTTACGGCCAGGCTGGATAGAGGACAGGGAGTTGAAGTGTGCTACCTTG